GCAAGCTCCTGTCCCTGGCCCATGACATCCCCCTCGCAGGGCACCAGGGAATCCGGCGCACCCGGCAGAGGTTGCTACAGAACTTTTACTGGCCCGGGGTCTTTACCACGGTCCGGCAGTATTGCCGATCCTGTGACCCCTGTCAGAGGGTGGGGAAGGCCCGGGACAAGGGGAAAGCGGCTTTGAGACCTTTGCCCATCATAGAGGAGCCTTTCCAGAAGGTGGCCATGGACATCGTGGGACCTCTCAGCAAGACGACCCGGTCGGGGAAGAAATACATTCTGGTGGTGGTAGATTTTGCCACCCGCTACCCCCAGGCAGGTGCCCTTAGCTTCCATTGAAGCAGACACCGTGGCCGATGCGCTCCTGACCATTTTCAGCCGAGTGGGGTTCCCCAAGGAAGTCTTGACAGACCAAGAGTCTTCATGTCGGCCCTGCTCCGGTGTTTGTGGGAGAAATGTGGGGTCCGGCACGACTGGGCCTCAGCTTATCACCCCCAGTCCAATGGGCTGGTGGAGAGGTTCAATGGGACGCTAAAGATAATGCTGAAAACCTTTATGAACCAGCACCCGCAGGATTGGGACAAGTACTTACCTCACCTGCTGTTTGTGTACAGGGAGGTGCCCCAGGAGTCGACCGGATTTTCGCCTTTCGAACTGTTATATGGAAGGAGGGTAAGGGGCCCCCTGGACCTGATGAGAGACGAATGGGAGGGGAAGGCCACTCCCGATGGAGAGTCAGTGGTGGAGTATGTCCTGATCTTCCAAGAGAGACTGGCTGAACTCATGGGCCTGGCCAGGGAGAATCTGGCCAGAGCCTAGAAGAAGCAGAAGGCCTGGTATGACCGCACGGCACGGGCCCGTGCCTACGCCACCGGGGATCCGGTGATGGTTCTCATCCCCGTGAGAAAGAACAAACTATAGGCCACCTGGGAGGGCCCTTTCAAGGTTGTCAAGCAGCTAAACGAGGTAAACTACGTGGTGGAGCTGTCGAACCGGGCGCACCACCGCCGGGTGTACCATGTGAATATGATGAAGCCATATTATGCCAGGGGGAATGTGGTGTTGGCCGTGTGTGGACATTGGGAGGAGCAGGGAGATGACCCTTTAGTAGATCTATTCCCTGGGACCAGAGCTGGTTCCCCCCTGGAAACAATTCCCCTCTCGGATCAGCTAACCCCTGCCCAGCAAGCTGAGGTCAGGGGGGTGCTGCATCCGTACCGACAGCTGTTTTCCAACCAGCCTGGACGCACTAATCTGACTGTCCACTGGGTGCAGACAGGGTCGCACCCGCCGATAAGATGCTCCCCCTTCCGAGTCACAGGGAAAACTGCTCAGGACCTGGAAAGAGAGGTCCGGGACATGCTGGCTTTGGGGGTGATCCAGCCATCGGCCAGCCCTTGGGCCTCGCTGGTGGTGCTGGTCCCCAGAAAGGACGGGTCGGTCCGGTTCTGTGTGGACTATCGGAAGCTCAATGCCATCACCGTATCTGATGCCTACCCCATGCCCAGGCCGGACGAGCTCCTAGACAAGCTGGGAGGAGCTCGGTACCTCACCACCATGGACCTTACAAAGGGCTACTGGCAAGTGCCGCTGGATGCAGATGCCCGGCTGAAATCGGCCTTTATCACCCCTCTGGGGCTCTATGAGTTCCTGACCCTGCCTTTCGGCCTCAAGGGAGCGCCGGCCACCTTCCAGCGCCTGGTGGACCAGCTACTGTGGGGGATGGAGAGTTTTTCCGTGGCGTATATTGATGACATCTGTGTCTTTAGCCAGACCTGGGAGGACCATGTGTCCCAGGTTAGACAAGTGCTGGACCGACTCCAGGGGGCTGGGCTGACTGTAAAAGCGGAGAAGTGCAAGGTGGGGATGGCTGAAGTATCTTACCTGGGCCATCGGGTGGGGAGCGGCCGCCTAAAGCCGGAACCAGCCAAGGTGGAGGTGATCAGAGACTGGCCCGCTCCCCACACCAAAAAGCAGGTCCAAGCCTTTAATGAGTTGGCAGGATACTACCGAAGATTTGTGCCCCACTTTAGCGCCATAGCCGCCCCCATCACTGGGCTATGCAAGAAGGGGAAGCCAGACAAGGTGGTCTGGACCGAGCAGTGCCAGGAGGCTTTCCGGGTGCTGAAGGAGGCTCTGGGCAGTGGCCCAGTTCTGGCAAACCCAGACTTTGACAAGCCCTTTATGGTGTTCACCGACGCCTCAGACACGGGACTGGGGGCGGTGTTAATGCAGGAGGATGAAAAGGGGAAGAGACACCCCATCGTGTACCTGAGCAAGAAGTTGCTACCCCGGGAGCAACACTACGCGGCCATCAAGAAGGAGTGCCTGGCCATGGTGTGGGCCCTCAAGAATACTGGAGCCCTATCTCTTCGGGTGACACTTCACCGTGTACACCGACCACTCTCCCCTGACCTGGCTGCACCAGATGAAAGGAGCCAACGCCAAACTCCTGAGGTGGAGCCTGCTCCTGCAGGATTACGACATGGACGTGGTCCACGTGAAGGGAAGTGTCAACATGATAGCGGATGTGCTGTCCCGGAGAGGGGGCCCCGAACTTCCCCAGGTCACTGGTCAGAGTGACCCCACTCAGTTCAGTCTCGAAGGGGGGAGAGATGGGACGCAGCCGGGAGGGGGGCGGACTGACCGGGGAATGGCGTCTAGTTCTGCTGGGACTGTCTGCATGGGGGGTGGGAGAGCAGGGGGTGAATCCACTGGAGTGAGGAAACCTGAGCCTGTCACCTGAGCTGGGAGAGGGTTGGGCCCAGGTGACACCTTTGCCTGGAAACTGGACAAAGGCTGGAGGAAGAGTTGAGGGGAGGAGGAGTGAGACTGGGGGAGGGGAGTTTTCATTTTGGGGCTGGCTGGGAAGATGCAGGGAACCCCAAGTCTGGGGCCTAAGCTCCTTACCCCCCGAAGGGACCTGGCTGAGGGGTCCTGGTTGTACTTACAAGCCCTGCTTGGAACTGTGTTCCTGTCCTCTAATCAACCTTCTGTGTTACTGGCTGGCTGAGAGTCACAGTGAATCGCAGGAAGAGGGGTGCAGGGCCCGGACTCCCCCCCCACCCTGTGACAAGTTCATATGGGCTGGCAGGGTGGGGGCGGGGCCCTGGGTGGAGGATAAGGCTGAGATGGAGGAAGGGAAGGGTTTGGAGAAGAGAGAGGTCAGGCTGAGGCTCTGAGGTGCTGGCGCACCCCATGTGGGCCCGGGAGGTCTCATCATCATGGCCCTGGGGTGAGGGTCTTCAGGCCTGTGCCCACTGATCGCTGTGCAGCTGGTGTCTGCTCAGTCCTGGCTGCGGAGCAAATGGGGCGAAGGCTCTGGGGGCGGATCCCTGCCCTACTCCAGTCCCATGGAGAGTGGGTCCCTGCACACCCACCCCGCTCACACACCCCACTCCTGTCTTGCGAAGTCCCTTTATGGAAGCCTGGCCAATGGCATTCTTGATGTCACATTGTGTCACCACAGAGACAGACGCTGCCACAAATGCAGGCGCATCCCACCCCCAGACACATGGCTCAGGGAGCCCAGTCAGGATTGGGGGTTTCCTGGCGACGCTGGGCAAAGGAGAGTGGAGCCTGAGCGTCTCTGCCCCCCTGTGCTGCGGCTGGGGTTAATCTCACCTTATGCCCCACGCAGGGTGGGATGGGGCTGAGCTGTGCTGAGAGCTGTAATTCCAGAGCTCGCCCCAGCACTGGGACCACCTAACAAGCAAAACACCACGAGCCAGGCCCTGTCCCCTGTGAGGAAGCGGGAATGTTCTTAATGTTTTCTCTGAATACTGTGTGGGTGCCTCAGTTTCCCCTATGCAATTCTTCAGTATCTAGGATAAGGGGGTGTGATTGTTGCAGAGCCCTAGAGGGCAGGTGTGTGCAGGGGTCTGCAAAGAGAATGGCCGACTCCCTCTCTCCTGGCAACTGTTGGCCTGGGCCCCTCCTCTGCAAAGGTGCCAACTGACGGTGTTGGAGAACAAAGAGATCTGGTGGCCTCCTGGCCCGGGAAAGAGACAAAGCCTGGAGGAGGAGCCGGGGGGAGGCTGTGGGAGACTGCTGGAGAGAGCTTCAGTTTTGAAGCTGGCTGGGGAAATGAAGAGAGGGCCAGATGGAGCTCTGGCCTCCCTGCCCTCCAAAGATGGACCTGACTACAAGCTCTGTTTTAAACAATGTTCCTGTCGTCTAATAAACCTTCTGTTTTACTGGCTGGCTGAGAGTCAGGTCTAACTACAAAGCTGGGGGGCAGGACCCACTGGCTTCCCCAGGACCCCGCCTGGGCGAACTCACTGTGGGAAGCACATGATGTGAAAGAAAATGCTAAATGCTCCGAGGTCAAACCCAGGAAGGTGGAAGGCTGCTCCCAGACAGGAGGCTCTCCCAGAGTCCTGACTGGCTTCGTAGGGAGTCGTTCCAGAGCATCGCCCGGGGACTCCGTGACAACCCCAGCCCAATGGAAAAGACCTGAGTCGTGAGCGGCCCTGGGCCTGGGGGAGCCCCTGAGCCAGTGGGTTGCACCCTCTCCACTGACCCCCCTCCACCCCCGAGTCATGGCTGCCCCACTTGCTTCCTCATTTTCTCCCCTTCATCCCCCGCTCCAGCTGCTGAGCTCCTGCCTGCTGTGGGCAGTGGGCTGGCCTGGCTTGGGCTCCCTGAGGTCGGAGCAGCAGGGCCGGCTGGTGAGGGAAGCTCAGGCCATGGGGCACTGCGGACTTGGGGGTCCAGGAGGTGCCGTGCAGCAGAAGGTGCCCTGGAGCCCGATGCCAGGCGGAGGAGACCGGCCCGGGCTGCCCGGACACAGTGGGTGCTGCTGCTCTCTAGCTCTGACCCCTCAGCAGGAGCAAGGAGAAGAGTCTGGCTTGGCTCTGGCCGGGGGTCCCGGGGGAGCCTGGGCGAGCTGGGCTGTGCGGCTCCTGTGCGCAGGCTCCGCCGTCCCAGTGGGGATGACAGTGCCAGGGACGTGGCCTGTGCAGAGCAGCTCAGCGCCAGGAGGGCACTAGGACCATGCTAGGCAGCCGGCTGAGGGAGAGCCGCTCTGTCTCTTCAGCCGGTGCCTCGGCAGCCACTTGTGGAGACAGGAGGCTGGAGCCTCTGCTGGGGCATGAGCCGGAGGTTCACGGTCACGGCCCTGCCCCGGGAGGAGGGGGCCCCCTGCCAAGAGGCGGCTGCAGCTCTCCGTGGAGATGCCGCCCCCCTGCAAGGGGCCCAGCCTGGCAGCCACTCCCGAGAAGACAGCAAAGGTAAGTGATGCTCGGCGGGCACCGTGCGGGCGCCCCGTGGGCAGCACAGAGGGGCTGGCTGCTACAGTGACCTGCCAGGAGCCCTCCCAGTGGGGGGCAGGGACGGTGCTGGGCTGGGGGCTTCAGTCTGCCCTGGGGTGGGTGGGGCTGGCTGCCCCTCTGGGGTGAAGGCTCTGGGGCACTGGGCTGCACCAGCAGCCATGTCTGAGAGGAGCCGGTTTCCTGAGGCCTTTGACGGGGCCTGGCCAGTGGCTTGGAGCAAAAGTTGCGGCTGTGAATGGAAAGAGCGGAAGTGCCTGGGGGTCCCGTGGGGGGCTGGGCTCCGCTCTGGAAAAGGGGGCTAGGCAGGGAGATGGCTGGTTGCCCCGGGTAACCTTTGGCTCTCTCCAGAGGAGCCGGGCGCTCGTTGCCTCCCATTCCCGCCTGCTGGGGGCAGGGACTCACCCGGCTGAGCCTGGCCCTGTGCGAGGCTCCTCTCAGCTGAACCCTAAATGCAGAGTGGGGCCGAGAGCCGCCTGCCCAGGAGCTGGGATGGGCACAGGGCCCGAGGGATGTGCTGGGGGCGGGGCCCCCCGGCACGCACAGCGCCCAGCCCCTTGCTGAGTGAAACCTGCAGGGTAAAACCCGCCCTGGGCCGTGCCCGCTGGCCCCAGCGAGGGCTCTGCAGCTTGGGGCTCTTGAGAGCGAGACCGAGGGCCACAGATGAACTTCTCCACACAGCCAAACCAGCGCCCCTCGCTCCCGACCCGCAGCCCCCCACAGCCCTGCGGGTGCCCCCGACTCCGGACCTGCAGCCCCCCTAGCCCAGCCCTGGGCTCCCCCCACAGCCCATGCTGGTGCCCCCCAATCCAGCCCTGTGCTATTCACTTCTAGGACTTGGACTCCATGTCCTTCAGCTCACGCACATTCCATAGCCAGCCATGGGCCCGGCATGCTGACCACGCTGCTTGAGCCTCCCGATAGTGGAGGGTGAGACCATTACGAAGTGTGGCCCTCGACCAGCCCTGTGTCGGCCTGGGGAGACGGCGGGTCAGATGTCCAGCCTGCCACCCCCTCCGCTGGCTGCCATTTTGCCCGTCTTTGGGAGCAGGCAACAGCCTGGGCAGCATTTGGTTTCTGTGCATGACTTTGACGTGAGCCTGGAGGCTAAGGGTTGGTGGTTAGAGTGTCTGTCAGGGTCTGTGCGGTGAGAAGGAGCCATGGCATCCTGGATGTGCGTGTGTGCACGGGACGTCCTGACTCTGTGTACCCCATGGTGCTGGGCTGGGGGCTTCAGCTCACGCACATGTGAGCGTGTGGGTGTGAGCGTGACGTCATGGCTGCGTGCGTGCACGTGTGAGCCTGTCTGTGACGTCCTGAGTCTACACGCACCTGGGCATGTGCACCCGTGAGTCCTGGCTCCGTGTGCAGCCCACAGAGAGGAAAGGCCCTGGTTGCTGCTGCCAGCTGCGGGTGCTCTTGGAGGCCTGCTCTGGGGAGAGGACTGGGTTCTAGACCTGGCCCTGTCCAAGGGAGCTTTGCACAGTCTGTCCGTGGCAGCCTGGTGCAGTGCGTGGTGTTGCCCCGAGTTAGAGGGTGAGGCAGGTGGCAGCGAGGTGCAGGGACTTGCCCAGGCTCGCCAGGGCGAGAAGCTGTCAGTGCTGGGATCCCTGCAGGGATCGTCCCAGTTTGGCCGGAGTGGGGCCTACGCCGGGGGGTCTCCATGCCTGAAGGGCAGCCAGCTCCTGCACATGGCTCAGCATTTGGCCCCTGGGAGCAGGGGGTGCTGCGCTCCCCCTCCGGGCCTTTCTGGCTCTGGACCTTGGGCTGGAGCGAGGCAGTTCCCCATGCACAGTGTGTCCTGGAGCACAGGGCTCTTGGCTGCACATCCGGGCCTGTCACTGGAGCTGTATCGATCTCAGAAACCCAGGGGGCTGCAGCCTCACCCGCTGCATCGGAGCTGTGAGTTGTGCCCTCTGCAAGGGCGCCTGGTGTAATATGGCCCCCGTGCCTGGCCCCGCGTGGCAGGGTCTAGGGGCTCGGAGCACAGAGATGCGTGGGTATTTTGGATCCGGGCTGGGTGGGTCGGTGCTGGGGGTTGAGTGGTTCTGGGGTTGGGGGGTTGTTATATGCCTGGAGGTTGTGGGCGTGCGGCTCGTGCTGTGTGGCCCATGGACCCGTCCCCTGTGCTCTGTCCGGGCCATGGTGGCAGGGCTGGCCTGGCAGGGCGTGGGCAGGTTGCACTGGCCGAGGAGATGGGGCTGAGATGGGAGCGACTGAGAGGCTGGAAGGCACCAGCTCTGTTGGGGGACCTGCCCCCATGCCAAGGTGACTCACTCAGGACGGTGGGGCTGGGAAAGGGAGGGGACTGGAGCCCGCGGCAGGGCTGAGGTTAGCCATAACAGCCCAATGGAGCCCAGTAGGGTTGTGGGAGTCAGTGCTAGGGTTGGGAGTAGAAGGGAAGTCAATGCTGAGGTTTGGGGGTCACAGGGAAGTCAGTGTCAGGGTTTGGGGGCCATGGGTCTGGGCAGGGGTTGAAGGGCATGGGATTAAAGTTTGGGAGTCAGGGCAGGGGTTGGGGGTCAGGGTGTCACGGAGTTCCTGGGCGATGCTCTGGAACTGCTCCCCATGAAGTCAGTCAGGACTCTGGGGCAGTCGCCTTTCTGTGAGCAGCCTGTCTTCAGGACACACAGCTCACACAGCTTCCACCTTCCTGGGTCTGACCTCGGAGCATTCAGCATCCTCTGCCTCTCCGTGCGCTTCCCACAGCGAGTCCGCTCAGGCGGTGCTCCTGGGGAAGCCAGAGGGTCCTGCACCCCAACTTCGCAGTCAGACGTGACTCTCAGCCAGCCAGTAAAACAGAAGGTTTATTAGACGACAGGAACATGGTCTAAAACAGAGCTTGCAGGTGCAGAGAACGGGACCCCTCAGCTGGGTCCATTCTGGGGGGCAGTGAGCCAGACAACCACGTCTGCACTTCACTCCATGTCCCAGCCAGCCCCAAACTGAAAAACCCCTCCAGCCCCTCCTCCTCTGGGCTTTGTCCCTTTCCCGGGCCAGGAGGTCACCTGATTCCTTTGTTCTCCAACCCTTCAGCTCTCACCTTGCAGGGGGGGAAGGGCCCAGGCCATCAGTTGCCAGGAAACAGGGTGTCGGCCATTCTCTGTGTCCAGACTCCTGCACACACATGCCCTCTAGGGCACTGCAATGATCATACACCCTTACCCCACCACCTAGATACTTAAGAACTGCCTAGGGGAAACTGAGGCACCCCCACACTATTCAGAGGAAACATTAAGAACAGTCCCACTTCGTCACATCTCTCCCCCCCTTCGAGATCGAACTGAGCGGGGTCACTTTAGCCGGTGACCTGGGGAAGTTCGAAGCCACCAACGTTCCCATGGATGCCCCAGCATCTCTCCCATTCCTTGGTAGGAGTTACACCAGGCCCTTCCAGTTTCACGCCCTCCCTTAGGTCAGGGGTGGTCGATAGCACTCGCAGGCCGCATGTGGGAAGGTTTATGCAGCCCATGCCCTTTGGCCACCCCAAGAATGTCTCCCCATTGACCATCACCTTCTACTCCCACTGGAGGTCCGGGGGCCTGGCCCCAGGAACCTCCACACAGACATATAGGTTGGGGTCAGGAGTGGGAGCCTGTCCACATCCCCAACCATCTGGCTGACGGAGTCTATGGCCTTGGGACCCAGCAAGGGAGCTAGACACCGGGGCTTTTCCGCAGGGTCCCCTTGGTTCAAATCTCCAGCCTGCTCAAAGGCAGTGAGGTGGGCATCCACACACCCCCCTCCTTAACCAGGGGCAGCAACTTAGTCTCGAGGTTCCCTGCGGAACTGGCCCCCCCGGGATCTATCCCCACTCACCCCGGGGAGGTCCCCTAGGCCTCTCCGCCCCACCACCGCCAGTTCATGCTGCTGCTGCTTCTGCAGCTCTTTCTCGGGCTCTCGCTGTCTCCCACGGTCCTCTTGCTCTCTCAGACTCAGCTGCAATCCCGTCCGTCTTGATCCCCCGATGGGGAACCCGATCATGAAGACCCTCGTCTGGTCGGGGACAGGAGTCTTGGCGATGCCTGGCTCCCGCTTCAGCTGCTCCCAGATCCTGCTATAGCCCCAGTTGGGGTCAGGAATCTGTTCCTTAGAGCGGTCATCCTCCTCCAGCTGCACGATTAACTCTGCTTTGGTGAACTTTCCAATGCTCAACCCTCTCTTTCTGCACAGGGTTACAATGTCCTTCTTAAGGAGACGGTGACAGGCCATCACTCCGCTCCTCCCAAGTTGTTGTGGACTCACAGGCCCGTGTGTTCTCAGCTCCCCACGGTTTCCAGGGAGAACCCCTAGTGTGCCAGCCCTTCTCAAGGTCACCACCTCTTTGCCAGGGTCGAGCTGCAGACTCCTCCGCCCCTGAGACTGCTCACTGCAGTCCCCAGGGGGACCCCATTACTGCACAGTACTTCTCGCTGGTCACACACTCCCAGGGGTTAACCGCCCCCGAAACCGCTCCTCTCTGAGCCTTCAGCAGGCCTGGTCCTCGGCAATCCCCCTTCGTGTTACTGCTCCCCAGTCACTTACTGCAGGAAGCTCCATCCACGGGGTGCAGTACATCCCACCGCTGCCACCAGTTGTCACGGAGTTCCTGGGCGATGCTCTGGAACTGCTCCCCATGAAGTCAGTCAGGACTCTGGGGCAGTCGCCTTTCTGTGAGCAGCCTGTCTTCAGGACACACAGCTCACACAGCTTCCACCTTCCTGGGTCTGACCTCGGAGCATTCAGCATCCTCTGCCTCTCCGTGCGCTTCCCACAGCGAGTCCGCTCAGGCGGTGCTCCTGGGGAAGCCAGAGGGTCCTGCACCCCAACTTCGCAGTCAGACGTGACTCTCAGCCAGCCAGTAAAACAGAAGGTTTATTAGACGACAGGAACATGGTCTAAAACAGAGCTTGCAGGTGCAGAGAACGGGACCCCTCAGCTGGGTCCATTCTGGGGGGCAGTGAGCCAGACAACCACGTCTG